TACTTATTAGGGTGCAAGCTTTCCCCCTTTATGTTATTCTGACGCGCTTGAGTAAATCCCAAAATCCCCGCTTGGTCTCCCCTACTATAAGGGCCACTTTCACCAAGTCAATAACTTAACTAGGCCGGTTAGTCCATCGGAATTAACCAATCGCCATTCGTCTTCAAACAAAATGACAAATGCGATTGGTCAATTCCGATGGACTAACCGGCTTAGTTAAGTTAACTGACCTTGATGAAAGTGGCCCTAAGTCATAATCGGTGAAGTTGGCCAATAGCCAACTTGAACAACTTGGTTAAGACTGGTTAAGACTTCTGACGTTCTGACTTGCGGCTTATTGTAGAAGGCCTATTATAGATACTATAGATAGTTAAAATAACTGATACGCGTTGATTCGTATTACCTGATAGTATCGCCATTGGCTGCATTCGGGAACGTCGCTCGGATGCCACCGATGCCTCGGATCACCGACGAGATATTATTAAAGACCGTCAACCCTGGGCAAATTTTCGACGGTATAAAAAGGGCCCCAAGGGCCCGGAGATAATTCAAGAACGCTGACATTACCGACAATTGATATAAATTTGCTATTATTAACATAAATATTTGGCTCATGCATTATTAAATTCATGATTTTTTATTACATTAATGTTCCATAAAGAAATATACATACTTGTAAAGCTGTAATATTCTATATATTGCAAAAAAAATTACAATTTTTTCTCTGCAATTATCATCTTTATTGATAATCAAACTTTGATGATAACACTAAAATCTCAATTTTAAAGAAAAATCGATTATTATTGTGTTATAAATGCATAAATACATCTGCTAAACTAATAAATCATAAAATTAGTACATTATTATCAGTTTTTAACTCTTAATCACTTCAATATTCACAAGGACGCGAACTCCTGTAAGGATGTCGGTCTTTAATAGTATCTCGTCGGTGCTCGGATTTATCATCTGTCCTTGTTTAACATCTAATGTTAAGGCCCGTCTACAATACACGGAGTAAGAAGTAAGAGTAAGAAATTGACCAATCACAGTCGATTATTCTTCTCACATTCGACTGTGATTGGTCAATTTCTTATTCTTACTTCTTACTCCGTGTATTGTAGATGACGCCTTAAACAAGGACAGATAATGAATCCGAGGGGGTGATCCCGATTGATCACGGCTCGATTGGACACCAATCACAGCGACCGGTGTTTAGGAGCTTTGTAGTCTCAAGCGCTGTGAGTGGCTCGTGTCCAATTGAACCGTGTCCAACTGGGTGCCACTCCATCGGAGGCATCCGAGCGACGTTTCCGAACGTAGTCATTGTCGCCAATGTCGCCATATGTAAAAAAAATACAGTGGCCACGGGTTCTTTCCCTCAAAACGTGGAAAGAATCGTTTTTCGTTCCCGTTCTTTCCCGGGTTTTTTCCCTGGTTCTTTCCCGGTTCCTTCCCTCCCTCGCTCAACACTAGCCCTCCATTTGATGCAATATTGCAAGCAAATTAGGAACATACAAACTGTAGTAGAGTAACTTTACAGTAACTTTGCGGTAATTATAACAATAATTGTGATAAAAATGTTTGATTATGGCAATATTTTAGCAAAATTAGCAATTTTGCTTATCATCAAAAGTACAAATGTTAATTTGGCAACATTATAACAACGTGCAAGTAAAATTTTATTTAGCAAATGATTTTGCCATCATCATGGGTGCTTTCCATTTAATGACACAAGTCAACACAAGTGTCGTTCTATCTTTGTCACTCTCTGAATGTCAACAAGGATAGAACGACGCTTGTGTCGATTTGTGTCGACTTGTGTCATCAAATGGAAAGCACCCCATATTACAGCGAGTATCAACAAATAAATTATACTGCTTTGCTTTTGCACGAAATTTTATCTAGGTAATACAGAAATCGATAGGTTAACGTTTTACAGTGTAAAATGGTTTTAATATGCACCAGTGCACACTAGTGTTTCCAGTTGAAATCATCGATTTTGCTTGGCAATTTTGTATTTTGCGTCTTTTGCTCATTGAATGAATGAAACAAGAGTAAGGCAAAGAACTTACAATTTTGTGGAATTAAAAATCTATAAGGGACTCCGCACAATATAAAAGGAACAGAGAATAAAGAATAAGAATTTCAACCTATATCAGAAATTGTGTATTCCACAATACATAATTTCTCATAGGTTGAAATTCTTATTCTCTGTTCTCTGTTCCCTGTTCCTTTTATTGTGCGGAGCCCTTAACAGTCAAAGTTGGACCTTTGATGCTTAAGGGGATTTTAACCCGGTATTCATAGTCGATTCTTATTTCAAGACCGTCTTAAGTAATACTTAAGACGGTCTTGAATATAAGATCCGACTATGAATACCGGCATCTGATTGATTCGTGACTTCTTAAGACCGTTCTTAAGATGGTCTTGAATATAAGATCTAACTATGAATACCGGCATTATTAAAGTGAAGCCTGAACTCCGACAAAATTACAAGTAGAGATCGCTGTTTTTCCAGCACATTGACTACGTTTACACGGCTCGATTTACGCCGAAGTTATAACATCAATGTTATAACTACTGACGTTAGATGCCGTGTAAACGCTATTTTAAGACGGAGTTATTACTTCGATGTAGTAACTCAAAGTCATTTGATGAAGAGGCTTAGAGTTATAATATCGACATAAAAAGGACGTCTAAACGACGTCGGTGGTTATAACTTCGACGTAAATCGAGCCGCGTAAACACATAGATTAAAAAAATAAGATAAAAATATGGAAACGAAGAAGCGCGAAAGTTGGAAAACCGAGGAAACTCGATATAGTAGAAATTAACATCAACGTTCCTGAACGTGTAAACGCGACATCACATGATTGGCTAGGGGTGATCCCGATTGATCACGGCTCGATTGGACACCACCAATCACATCGACGGTGCTTAGGAGCTTTGTAGTCTCAAGCGCTGTGAGTGGCTCGTGTCCAATTGAGCCGTGTCCAACTGGGTGCCATCCGATTGGCTACTACGTCGAGGCCAATTATTGCCGCGTCTTCTGAATAGAAACAACACAAGTGAAACATCATAACTTCAAAGCCGTAATCATAGTTGCAAGTTTTCGTCCCGTCAAAAGATTGCGATTAACGCGCCTTATCTTTATACCAATCAACGGGAAGATGCATAGTCACGTAATTTATCGTTTGCCTCGTTGCCAATTATTTTATCGCTTTTTAGAGTTTTATATTATGACTAAAAGTTTTATACGTGCAATGGCCTTTAAATCTTTTACAACGAAAAAGAGATGAGTATTGTGAAGAAATATGAGATTTATATTAACCAACAATACCAGCGGATAATTCTAATATTTAACTAGAATGAGGAGAAACATCAATTATTTGTTTATATCTAAATAAAAAATTGAACAATTTTCTGAAACCTATTTTTATTTAAAATAAGTCATATCAGTTATCATTTTTATTTTATTTATATAATATAATAATTACTTATTAAGTTTATATATTTTTATTACTCAAATACTTATTTTGTTGCCTAATATTAAGTATAACTATAATAACATTAATTAGAGGCTATAGTTATAAAAAAACTGAAATGGTAAAATCCGAAATGTTATAAATTTATAAATGTATACTGAAATGTATGTTCATATATCAAAATATAAATAAAATTATTAAAATATTTTGTATTTCCTATTTAAAACGTTTATTTAAAATACATATTTCTTATTTTATATTTTGAGTTATTATAGTTTTTGAAATGTAGTTTTTACTTAAAATAAAAAATAGATTTCAAGAACTTCTTTTAAATATAAAATAAGTTATTTTAAATAAATTTTTGAGAACAATTTCTTATTTAAAATAAAAATATTCTTCAAAAAGAAATTTAAAATAAAAAAGCAAGCTATTTTGACATTTTTTAAATAAAAGTTATTATATATTTTAAATAAATAAAATGCATTCCAGAGTCCTATTTCTTATTTTATATTTTTAATAATTTTTTGC